GATATCTGTGAAGATTTTTTTTTTGATAATTTTTAATATTTATTTTTTAGTTCTCGGCGGACACAACATCTTTGTTGGTATGGGGTGCTGAGGATCGAACCCGGGCCGCACGCATGCCAGGCGAGCGCGCTACCGCTTGAGCCACATCCCCAGCCCATGAAGATTTTGATGAAACCACAGAAAAATAAAAATTTACTGACAGCTTGTCCACATACAGACTAGATTTTGTCTATCTATGTATTCAGCATAGAGTACACATGTAAATTTTGGCAAATTCCATTCTGTCTATAAGCTTCTTACCAAAGAAAATGAAAAGATCTTACATGCTTAATGTCCTATTCAGCTTGTACACAAGACTGCTGAAAAGGGGTGTGATTTACTTTTCCATGATATTGAGGCCTTCTTAATAAAAGTTTTTCATTACTTCTCAGTTTCCTCAAAAGATGCAGATGAATTTTTTTTTTTTTTTTTTTTTTTTTACTTTGTAGCGAGAGAAGGAGATAGACTGTTTAGATCTGTATCTGTCCTGTGGCTGTCATTGTTGCCAGTCATAGAAACGATGTTACAATGTTGTTTTGCTGTAAAATCTCCTTCTCAAAATGCAAGAAAAGGAGAATGTCAGGCTGAGGATACAGCTCAGTTGGTAGAATGCTTGCCTTACATGCACTAGGCCCTGGGTTCCATCCCTAGCATCACAAATAAATAAATATATAAATAGAAATCCTGAGAATGTCCACCTTTAATTTGGAAATTGAGGATGAGAATGAAGAAAAGTGTTAAACTACAATAGAAATTTTTATGCTTTTTGTCCAGAACTATTTAGACCTTTGAAGAAGCCATAAGGAGCCTAGAAAGGACAGGTTGACTGCACCTGAGTTATTTAATATTATGAATAAGTTTCAACACAAACTCCTAACAGTGAAAAAATGACTCATTGTTTTTTTGAAAGAAGGTTGCTTTAGAATTCAAAACATCACCAAAAAAAAAAAAAAAAAAAAAGGGCAACCAAGTTAAACAGACTTTCTCAATTGCTTTATAAGAACAATAATCCTTTTGAAATCCACTTTCGATTTTACAAATTCAGATTGCCTCTGGTGCTTGGCTGGGCATGTATTACATGCCTCTAATCCCAGCAGCTCTGGAGGCTGAGGCAGAAGGATTGTAAATTCAAGTCCAGCCTCACTCAGCAATTTAGCAAGGAGGCCCTAAGCAACTTGGTAAGAACCTGTCGAAAGAGAGAGAGAGAGAGAGAGAGAGAAAGGAAGGAAAGGAAAGGAAAAAAAAAAGAAAAAGGCTGGGGATGTGGCTCAGTGGTAAAGTGCCTCTGGATTCAATCCTAAACCCTCCAAACAAAAAATTACCTCTGTGATTTAAAACCATTTTCCCCGAGGAGAGGTTTAACTTAATAACATTCACTGTACTTCAGAATGTTTAGAAATAATGAGCATTTTAGATACGCATAGCCTTTATGATGTAGAGGATGCAGAGAACTGACTGACAAACAGGTGGTCTACCCAGACAAGCCAGTAGATAAAAGATAGATGGACATATTTTGGAGAGCTAGAAATAAATTCCTACAAGTCTGAAGATCTGCTGTTGCCAGTAAGCAAAACCCTAAGTATTCCATGCCCAGTGTTTTTGTGGAGAGAATATTCCGAGTGATGTCATSACATTGGGCTGACACCAGGAGTCCGTGTAATGTGGACTTGATAAGAGCAAGCTACAAGTCCAGGAGAATTTCACATCTGACTGTGTTCAGTTTTACCACTGCAAAAAAAAGAATGGTGTGCTCCAGGTTGCAGGTGGTTCAGAGAGGTATTACTGGAAAAGGAAGGCAGAAGAGGAAGACTTTACACATCCAGGCATCTGGTGCCCAGTGGTAGTCCCAGCTGCTTGGGAGACTGAGGTAAGAGGATTGCCTGAGCCCGGGAGTCTGGGGCCACCCTGGCAACATAGTGAGACCCCATCTCAAAGAAAAAAAATAGTTTAAAAATATCCTGGGGCTGGGGATATGGCTCAAGCGGTAGCACGCTCGCCTGGCATGC